TCTGCGATGTATGAACTGTGGTATCAACTGAATAATGATAATGTGACAGCTTGGTCTTCGTGGACTATCACATTATGATGTAATCTGTGGATTTCCCTTTGAGGAAATTGTGGATCATTTCAGAAGGGTCCCATAGGTACACGTCGCATGGAGATATGATCGAGCGGAGAATTTTATGACGAATTGCAAGCGTCACGGATGAGTAACTACAGGTCCCATAGGTACACGTCGGATAGAGAAAGTACCGTGTGGAGATCTATGACGAAGCCGTTCATTACAGATCGAATATTGTTCATCACAGATGTGTAATTAGTTCAATGACGAAGCCCTGTTCATCACAGTTTTAAAGGACATCGTCACAGATGAGTCGCGCGAGTGATCTATGATGAAACCCTGCGCTCTTCTATGATATTTTTTATGATGATGCCTGATTTTGTCATAGAAAGGGAGGGTTGCAGGATCGTCACCACCGATCTATGATGAAACGGAAATATTCGTCATAAAAAGCGATCTTCTATGACGGTTTCGGATTCATCATTAAGATTTTCGTCATAGAAGTGGATATTTCTAGTAGTGAGCGTATGACTTTCAACATAGGTAATAAGACATCATCGATAGCCATATGGTTCACAACTCACATTTGTGTGAGGTATGAGTCTCAATTAGAGTTGTATAGTTGGACTTAGTAATTTGGTAATGTCTTTTATGTATGTTTTCACTGATCTACGTAATCTTTTGATAAGACAAAAGCTTGAGTTTTGGCGGCTATAGATGTATATTATGCTACTAGATCTTGTGTCTTGTGCTAGTGGAGTGTGAAGATGGCATCTTTAGGGATATTGGAGTCGATTTATTTAAGTTGAGTTTGTCAAGAGGATAAGACTAAGTTTTAGTAAATTAACTTGGCAAGTCCTCACAATACTATAATCACAATTTCTTATTTTACCTCCTATTTCTATTGTTATTCATTAAAAGAGTATTATGTATATTATTACTTAGAATTAACTTCAGTTTATACAACAACATTCATCTTCTATCTCATGTGGGGCATTCTGTGTCGTCCTAAAGATCAAGGTGGTTTGGGTATAACAACCTCTGGATCAAAAACAAATGCCTTCTAAGCAAATAGTTATTTAAACTACATAACAAAGAAGGAACTTGGCAGACCTTGCTTAGGAATAAATATTTGAGTTTTAAGTCCTTATCATAGGTTGATACAAAACCTAGGGACTCACGGTTTTGGAGAAGTCTTCTAAAGGTGAAGGAAGATTTTCTGGGATGTGGGACTTCCAAAATAAATGATGGCTCACATACCAGATTTTGACAATACAAATGGGTAGGTATCAAACCCCTAAAGGACCAAATTTCCAAACCTATATAACATAGTCAATTACCCTTATATTACGGTGGCATTAGTTATGGATCAAGTTCCACTAGATATTTCTTTTCAAGGAGTTTCAATAATTGGGGATAAGTTCACTACTTGGCATAACCTTTTTTTTTTGCAGTGAATATAGCTAGCTTTTGGCCATCCAATGGAAGGGATAGTTTCACCTAGGACTTGAATAAAAATGGTATTTTCTCAGTACGATCTATGTATATGTATCTGATTAACCAGGGTACACCCTTTACAGATAAATTTATTTGGAAGATGAAGCTCCCTCTAAAGGTAAATATTTTCCTATGGTATCTACATAGAGTAATTTTAGCATGTGACAACTTAGCTAAAAGGAATTGGTCAAGTGTTGTTTCCTTGAACACCTCTTTTTTCAACTGTCAGCATGCTAAGACTATTTAGAGAATTGTCCACATTGATGGCAAGAGGATATGGAAGTGTAAAGCACCCCTGAAAATTAGATTTTTTTTTTGGCAGATGACACAGAATAAGCTCCAAACAGTTGTTTCTCTATCGAAAAGGGGTTGGTAAGGGTTAAAGAGTGTTGCCTATGTGGGCAAAATGCATTAGGGGGTGTTTGGTTTTTAGTCGCTCCTAAAATTTATGTCACATCAAATGTTTAGAGGCTAATAAGGAGTATTAAATATAAATTAATTACAAAACCAATTACATAGATGGAGGCTAATTTCCGAGATGAATTTTTTAAGCCTAATTAATCTACCATTAGCATATGTTTACTGTAGCACCACGTTGTCATATCATGGGCAAATTAGGCTTAAAAGATTCGTCTCGCAAATTAGTCGCAAGTTGTGTAATTAGTTTCGTAATTAGTCTATATTTAATACTCCATGCATGTGTCTAAACATTCGATGTGACAGGAATTTTAGGAGGAGGGGAAGGAACCAAACAGGCCCTTAGTCATTTTTTTGGGTGTGCTATCTCTAGGTTTGTGTGTTGCTGTGTGCGTGAAGCCTTTAACTGAACTGACTATCCTACTTGTGCTGAGTTCATGGAGAACTGGACTGAAGGAAAAGGAATTTCACAACAATTAGCTTTGTTCATATTTTTGCAGGTTTTACATGGTCAATATGATTATATATGGAGAACGGGGGACAAGATGGCTATTGAAAAGTCATTTCCTAAACGGAAACGCTCTAACCCGAGCGTCCGGCCCTCCTAAAAATATCAGACGGACTCTCCAGGCTCATGTGTCTCATGAACAACCACTCTTTCCCTAATTAATTCTCGTCCACTCATTTCTCAGCCTCCACCGACACCGCCTCCTCCTCTGTCTCTTCTTCAAACTCCTCACTCCTCTCATCCTCAACAGGTAAAGGACACGAGCGTAGGCATCCCCATCCTCCTCTCACACTCACCAGGAATGAGTCGTTGATGTTCCTGTCACCTGATGGGATTGCTTAGACTGCAGGTGGCGGCGGCAACTATTTGAATGTCGCGTATGCTACTATGGTTCCACCGCCCGCACCAACCACGCGTACCAGCCGCGGATGCGTCCGCCGTGTCGCCCTCGGTGGGGCAGCCGGGTGATTCGGAGGCGTTCTCGAACATCATGTTGGGCTACATCAACCGCATGTTCATGGCCGAGGACAACGACGATAGGCTCGAGCACTACCCGAAGCACCCTGCGCTATTTGTTGCGCTACTGACGACCTCCTCTCTCTCTCTCTCTCTCACCTGGACGGACTGCACCCGAGCGCCGCTTGCTGGCTATCGTAATACTCCACCAGGTAGGCTATGGCCGCCAACGATGTCGTGTTTCAAGTGTTTCAAACGTATGTTTCAAGTGTTTCATCTATATGTTGCAAAAACAGATAAGGGATGTTGCATATGTTGCAATGACAATATACGCATGTTGCAAGCATATGTTTCGAGTATTTTAGGTGTTTTAGATGTATGCTTTAAATGTTTTGTATGAATGTTGCATAAGTAGATATGGATGTTGCATAACATGCATGTTCCAAGCGTTTGTTTCAAGTGTTTCAGATGTTTGATACGTATGTTGCAATTGTTTCATCTGGATGTTGCATATGTTTTGCAATTGCTATACACATGTTTTCAAGTGTTTCAGACGTATGTTGCAAGTGTTTCATCTAGATGTTTTAAAAATACATCGGGATACTCCACATGTTGCAATGTGTCCCACCTGCCACAACCTCCTATTGCAGTTGATGGGGCGTCGTGCATGCGCGTGGGGAGCAGAGGGATGGAGTGCTGCTCGGCGGCAAGCAAGGGAAGCAGAGGGAGATGGCGGCAGGGGCGTAGGCGGTCCCCACATGTGCGCGGGAAGCAGGGGAGCAGCACAGGCGCAATAGGCGTGAAGGGGAGCGGCGCAACTGGGAAGCGCTTGGAGCGGCAGGGAGGGGAGAGGTGCAGGAAGCACGGGGAGCAGCGCAGGTGGTTCCCTGCCCATGCATCCGGCCGCTAGCCATGCCATTTCCTAAATGACCTGCTGAAGTGATCTTCTCTGGCATATCTTTACTGCAGTGTTGGAGGCCACTGCTCAAGGAAAGTGATTGGAAGAAGGTCGAGCAAGCGATGGAGATGCTGCTAGGACGATGAGCAACTTTCATCCCACGTCAAGTACTCTTGTGAAGTGAAAAGATGGGCTATGATGACTTGTCTTCCTTTCTTCTTTTCCATGTGCTGTTCCCTGGCACACCTTTAGCGGTAGTGATACCGATACCGTTAATCACATTATCACATTACTATTAGCCGGTCGCATTGTCCTGCTTTTGATGTGTCTAAATTCTAGCTCTGGCTGGTATCCCCAGCTTTTGTATCAAACCTATATGCTTTCTTAAAAGCAGAGTAATATCTCCTTTAAAAGAAAAAAAAAACTCTGAAAGATATACTGTTTTTATGCTAAGTTCTGAATAAGGCAAACAGGCAAAAAACGTAGCCCGGTGAACCAAAACCACAGCAAATAAAAAAAATCCGATGAATATACCTTGAACTCCAGGAAAACCTGTCAACATTTATCCTCACTCAAGGTTAAACAGTTGGACTACATTTTATGGAGTATGCAAAAATGACCAGCTGATTCACATCGAGAACCAAAACATTGCTACCAGGAACTGCAGCAAGCAACAAATTGCTAGTTACATTTTAATGAAACTACGCAATGGAACAAGAAAACAGTTCTCACAGTAATAAACTTACATAATGTAGAATGATTTCACCATGATTACCAAGACACTACAGTAAAAGGGAATCATTCTATATTGTATAAGAAAAGGAAATGAAGCCACGCTTGGCATGTGGTGCCATCCAGGCTTCATCATACTGCAAAATAGTGCAGCACAAGCAACACTCCAAGCTAAAATACATTGAACACAAGAGCTACCACCACCACCCCCCCTCCCCCGTCCCGTCCTTATACCACTGGCAGTCTGAAACAGCTCAGACAACTAAATCCTTCAACTATCTGCTTCAGAAACCCCTGAACCCTGAACCAGTAGTGTAACTATGAAGAATGTTAAAACTAAACGAAGCACTTCTTTCATCACCCTAGCAAAACAATTGGGCCTTCAACTCAAGGGCTCCAGAAGTAAAGAGAGACATTGAATGTCATATTAAGGCAGCGCTATGAATCCACCATCTCATCCTGCAATTCATTCGGGGCGATGAGCCCTGGAATGGAAAGCATACGTTGGCGTTCCTTTTCCCTCTGAGCAGCAGCCTCTTCAGCATATAGATCCTTGTTATCCTGGCACCAGATGACAAGAAAATCAGCAGAGAATATAATTTACAAACACCTCACTCAATAATGTATCACTCATTAAAAACTAGATTATAAAGGAAACAACTGAAATCAAAGACATCCTTCTGATATTGTGCTATTGTCAGATTGATGTGGGCTAGGGTTTCCTTGCTCTAATGCAATGCTTTGATATGGGCAAGGAGGCTGTGCACTTCATTGATTAATATGTAGGTGTAGATACAAACAGTTTCATTATATGGCAAAGATCTATTTTTTATTTCAGCAAGGCCAAAATGAAATAAATTTACTCAAGGTGATGCAGGCACTTTTGTGACATTACCTGGGCAGAGAACTCCTTCGATTGAACAAGAAAATCCCTTATATGATTCTTAAAATTGGGAGGATCAGTTTTTGAACTAAAAAGTCCATCAACAAACTTTGCTACCTGTAGAAAACATAGATGTCAAATTTCCTGCTGATTGAACTAAGAATAGAAGTACACAAGGGATAAAAATACCTCTACAGGCGTCATGTTAGGAAAGGATGAGCTGAGAAGTTTAATAGTGTAGTCTCGAACAAACATTGCATTATTTGTGAATTGAGAAGGAGCTGCTGAGGCATCCCAGAGAGGCTCCGTTAGACCATCAACCTAATATGCCAGCAAACATAGTAATCAAATACACACACACACAATCATCAGAGGATAGAACAACAGATAAACATATATGTATATATAGTTACCACATAGAACAAATGTTGAAGCACAGAAACGTGAAGCTTGAAACCAGGTTTGTGGAATGTGTCTGTGAGCACTGCAAATATCTCCTGCTCGATATTTAAGAAGTATGTCTTGTAGAACTGATTTTGGAACCCTGAAGCCTGCAAGGACAGCATCACTCAGGTTACCTTAAGTGTAACCAGAGTACTAACCAAGGATAGAGCATAAATTGCACCTCGAAGTTCTTCAAAATTTCCAATAACAGGCTTAGACCGGTCTCAGCAATATTTCTCTCTGTATGTCGAAATGCCCAACTTATGGAATCCATAACAAGCGTTAGTTGCTGAAGCAGACAGATAAATAATCAGGTTAGTAAACCAGTAATCTGCAAGCAGAACAAGCATGTTTTCGCTTTGAGCTTAACAATAAGCATATATGATGATGGCATTGTAATTTACAGGACATCTGAAAGATGAAATACCAAATTCACTTGTACCTGACTAGAGAGCTGAATAAAAGCTTGGAAACAATGTGTACCAATGGCACGAAGCAAGGAGAAAAATTTAAGGCGATGCTCAGGATAGTCTTCAAAGTTTTTGGTGATCATCTGATATGAATCATAAGAAAATAATTTAACTATAAATGAGAATTATCTTTTATCAGCAAAAAAAAATCAGATTGAAATTACATTATCTATACCTCAAGAGTACACTGAAAAACAGCCTCAAAAATGCGAGGAACTTCCTCAAGCATCTCACCTTTGTACCTATGCAGAAAACAACAAATTACTAACAAACTCCATTTGCCAACAACAAAGCCTTTAGTCCCAAGCAAGTTAGAATAGGATAAACAAACTCCATTTGTTACCAAAAAAAGGTCCATAAAAGACCAGTTCATGCACATCTATATTTAACAAGCAAATCACGAAACAAAATGAATGAAGAAATAATGGCAGGCTTACTTGTTTATAATTGTCGCGAATAATGACAAAACTTCAGATTCTCTTGCATCAGGCACGTTTCTAGCGTAATCACCTAGAACAGGATCCATCATTGGGGGAACAAACTGTTTCCCCAAGTGTGGTAAATCTTCGGCTTTGTCCAGAAAAGTCTCGATCAATTTTAATGTCTCCCTCTTTACTGATCTGTTTATTACAAACCACTTAACAAAATACACAATATTAATATCTGCAGAGAATAATTATTCATACCTCAGAAGTTTTACAAATGATGTCTTTGAAGCAAAAGGCCCTCCTTCAGAGATAGTGTTTGACACCAGTTCGCTGTACATTCTGATATGCAACAGGCAAGGAACTATATTAGCTGCTGAAACATTGACTCTGTAGCACATTAGCAGGTGATACATACAAAACTTTCATCAAACGAGCAATGCAATAATATGAAGAAAGCAATACTGTCAGCAAATCTGCAGCATCAGAGAAACAAAATTGGGGGGGGGGGGCTCACTGAATGGACTACAAGCATGTGTGGAGCAATTTAAATTTAAGAAAATAAAAAGATAAAAAAACTTTGGTAAACTGCAAGTGAAAATACCTATACACTGTCAACATGTCCAGAAAGATTACTGAAATTTGTGGGAAAAAATAAGGTCCAAGTGAGCATGCAACACCTGTGTTCGTCTGCAAGCACCAAAAACTATATTTGATAAGAACCAGAAAAAGAAATAAAATTGGAGAAAAAAAGTGGCACTAAACAGAAAGTTGCCTGGGCAATTTAAAATGATACTATGGCATGCTTCTAATAAAGTGGTTGGTACAATTATCTAAAAGAAAAGGAAAAATGTGTCTAAGGTGAGCCCAATATGGCACTAGAGTATGCTTCTGACAAAGAAAAAAAAAATCCAACATTTGAACATCAAATCTAATGAGGAAGTGTCACAGTATCAGGCACCATCCACTATGCAAGTGACATGATGCCACCAATTAGGCAGTTGCCTTTCATGAAAGTAGATAAGCAATAGAATCATAGAAGCATGAGAACAAATATAGCCTCCCCTTGGCCACTTCAAAACTTAATTTATTACCTGTAAGATGTTCAGAACAGATCTGATGACATCTTGGTTTTTCAAAATATCAGTGCTTCGGCCAGCCTCCCCAATTATTTCAACCCATTTCTGCAAGATTAGAGTAATAATTTTACAACTAAAATACTAGGTGAAAGTCAGAGAAAAATTGGATGACAAAATCTATGAGTGTGCAACCTGATTAGGTAGGCTCATCAATCTCTTGAGATACTCCTCCCTCTTAGTATTGTCAGATTCAGCTTGAATCATCTGACCAACCTGAAGAAAGATAATGAAAACATAAGATATATCCTTCACTAACAGACTGCCAAATAGCTAATTTCAACAGCATACCGATTCATAGAATGAATGGATCTGATGAGGCTCAAGGTCTGCTATTGTGGTAGGAAGGTTGGACAACAGCACAGAAACAAATGGTTCATTCTCACCCACCTGTACAACCATGAACAAATGTTGAATAAATGGTAACAGCCACACATCACCGAGAGATACACATCAGCACATGCCCATGTGTTCCATACTATTCTAATTTTTAGCATTGGGACAGCCTAAAATATGCATTGAGTTTAGTCACAGCACATGATAGAGATGCCTTTAAAACTACCCTTTAATTGAACGATACCAAGTCACAACACCCGAAAATATATATTCAGTTTTGAATACTTCAGCTCAGCTGAAAGCTCTAGTTTGGTTTTGGTGAATTGATGAAACCCTAGGTGCTAACCTTTTACTCTAAGTGATCATGAGATAGGGTAGCACATTCCAAGTGGTGGAGCAAATGTGAAGATCATGATGATGGTGGTGATAGCCGTGGTGATGATCAAGTGCTCGGACTTGGAAAAGAAGAAAGAGAAAAATAAAATGGGCTCAAGGCAAAGGAGGATATCCATAGGGCCATTTTGTTTTGGTGATCAAGACACCTAGTGGGTGTGATCACATTTAGAATAGATAGCCGTACTATTAAGATGAGTGAAACTCGTATCGAAATGCGGTTATCAAAGTGCCACTAGATATTCTAACTCATTATATATGCATTTAGATTCTAGTGAGTGCTAACACCCTTAAAAATGTTTATGAAAATATGCTAACACTCGTGCACAAGGTGAAACACTTGGTGATTAGCACATTTGATCAAGGGTCACAACCGGACGCTAAACAGTAATTATGACCGGACGCACAAGTGATAGCTCTAATTTGGTTTTGGTAAATTGATGAAACCCTAAGTGCTAACCTAGTTTATCAAGTGATCATGAGATAGGTAGCAACATTCCAAGTGGTGAAGCAAATGAAGATCATAACATGACGATAGTGTTGCCATGGTGATGATCAAGTGCTTGGACTTGAAAAAGAAGAAAGAAAAACAAAAGGCTCAAGGCAAAGGTATAAATGGTAGGAGCCTTTTCGTTTTGGTGATCAAGACGCTTAGCGAGTGTAATCACATTTAGGTTCGATAGCTGTACTATTAAGAGGGGTGAAACTCGTATCGAAATACGGTTATCAAAGTGCCACTAGATACTCTAACTTATTGCATATGCATTTAGGATCTAGTGGAGTGCTAACACCCTTGAAAATGTTTATGAAAAATACGCTAACACACATGCACAAAGGTGATACACATTGTGTTTAGCAGTTGGAAGCAAGGGTAAGAAACTTCACCGAGGAGCCTTTTTCGCATGATCAAGACAGCTTAAAATGACAGGGGTTTCACAGAGTGGACTGACGACGACGCTTGGCCTCAACTAGACCTAACTTAGCATCCGGTCGATGAGAAAGTAGTGAAGATGGGCAGGCGGCTTCGAGTCTTGACGAACGCTGGGTCACTTTCGAAACTGACCGGACGCCGAGTGGTGGTGCATCCGGTCCTCCGCCGGCGTGGCGGCCTGAGAAGAAGAAAAAGGATCGGACGCCGGTGGTTTGCGTCCGATCGTGACCGACCGGACGGACGCGTCCGATCCACGAGTGGAACTCTCTTGAAACGACCGAGACGACGCCGGGTCCTGCGTCCGGTCACTTCGAGCAGCGCGTCCGGTCATCACTTGACCGTTGGGATCGGGCGCTCGGTATTTGAAGAGAGGGATGACGTGGCAGCCATCCGTTGACCGGACGCTGGCAGGGTGCGTCCGGTCGATCTGACCGGAGCGTCCGATCACCCCGAGTTGTGTCCAGTGAAGGGGTACAACGGCTATATTTCGTGGGAGCTTCTATTTAAGCCCCATGACCAGCTCTAGCTCACTCTATTGGTCATTTGCATTGACATAACAACCTTGTGAACTTAGTCAAAGCCATCCCACTCATCTCCATCATTAATTCATCATCTTTGTGAAATTGGGAGAGAATCAAAGTGCATTGCTTGAGTGTTTGCATCTAGAGGCACTTAGTGTTCGTGTTTCGCTGCGGGAATCGTTTGTTACTCTTAGTGGTTGCCGCCACCTAGACGGCTTGAACGGCTTGGAGCAGCGAGGATCGTCGAGCAGAGGTTGGTGATTGTCTCCGGCTCCGATCGTGGTGATTGTGAGGGGTTCTTGACCTTTCTCCGACGGAGAGCCAAAAGGTACTCTAGTGAATTGCTCGTAGCTTGTGTGATCATTATCTTGTGTTGGTTGTGCGACACCCTATTGAGGGTTTGGCGTGTGATGCCAATTAGCACGTGAACCTCCAAGTGAGTGAATCGCCACAACGAGTAATAGCTTACCGGCAAGCAAGTGAACCTCAGTAAAAATCATTGTGTTATCATTTGATTCCGAGGTGATTGGTCTTCATTGGTTTTCATTCTTGTGATTGATTGGTTCATTCCTTGACACGACGGTACAACTATCTTGCTCTCTCTCTTTACATTACCGCAAACTAGTTATCAAGCTCTTTAGTATTGCTAGTTGTGAGAGCTTGTTAGTTTGGTTAGTGTGGCTTTTTAGTTAGCCTTTAAGAACACACTAACTTAGTGTAGTGCCATAGTCATTGTGTGGTTAGAAGCAATAGAAACTAACATTTGCTTCGCCTCATAATTGTCTAACCGGTTTATTAAGTGTTGTAGAAATTTTTAATAGGCTATTCACCCCCCCTCTAGCCATTAGGATCTTTCAGCAGGGCCTGCGTCCAGTCAAGGCTGACGTACGCTGACGCAAGGCGGTGCGTGAGGACGTGTGAGGACCGGACGCTGGCCTGCGTCCGATCAGGATCCGACGGACGCGTCCGATCGTGAATTTGACGCTCTGGACCCTCTCTGGAAGTGATCTGACGCGAGGTGGCGCGGCATCAGGTGAAGTGGAGCGGCGCGTCCGGTCAGTGCTTGGTGGCTCGGGCACCCGCACGGGCTGTCTGTGCACCGGCGCGTCCGGTCTTTTTGATCGCCGCGTCCGATCGCTCTTAACCTCGTGAGGAAGGCTGACTAGCCGTTGGAATCAGGCGACAGTAGTTGAATGGAGGCGACACGTGGCAGCGATCCGGTGACCGAACGCAGGGGGTTGAGCGTCAGGTCGTTTCGACCTGCGCGTCCGGTCGCCCCAAGAAAAGTGCGGTGAGGAGCCCAACGGCTCTATTCGTTTGGGGGCTTTATAAAAAGCCCTTGGCCGGCTCTTGCTCACTCTCTTGGCCATTTCTATTGAGAATACATCCTAGTGAACATAGCCATCTCTCTCTTACTCATCCTACTTGATTGATTCATCATTTGGTGAGAATTGAGAGCATCCAAGTGCATTGCTTTTAGTGATTGCATCTAGAGGCACTTGGTGATCGTGTTTCGCTGTGGATTTCGCTTGTTACTCTTGGTGGTTGCCGCCACCTAGACGGCTTGGTGCAGCGAGGATCGTCGAGCGGAGGAAGGTGCTTGTCTCCGGCTCCGATCGTGGTGATTGTGACGGGTTCTTGACCTTTCCCTAGCGGAGAACCAAAAAGTACTCTAGTGGATTGTTCGTGGCTTGTGTGATCCTCATCTTGTGTTGGTTGTGCGGCACCCGATTGCGGGTTAGGCGTGTGATGCCTATTAGCGCATGAACCTCCAAGTGAGTGAATCACCACAACGGGGACTAGCTTGTCGGCAAACAAGTGAATCTCGGCGAAAAATCATTGTGTCATCTTGCCACCGGAATTTCATTGGTATTCACTGTGATTGATTGATCTTCTCTTACCACGGCGGTATAAACATCACTACGCTACCTTGTATTTACATTTCCTAGTGTAGTTAAGCTCTTTAGTGTAATTAGTTTTGCGAGCTAGCTTGTGTCTTGAGTAGTGGTTAGTGAGGCTCTTTAGTTAGTCTTTTAGAGCTCACTAACTTAGTGGTAGTGACCTAGCATTGTGTGTTTAGAGACTATAGTAACTAAAATTGTGGTAGGTGCCTTACATTTTTAGTAGGCTAGCACAAGTATTGCTTCGCCTCATATTTGTCTAACCACTTTGCTTAGTGTTGTTGTATAAATTTTTATAGGCTATTCACCCCCCTCTAGCCATTAGGACCTTTCATCAACTAAGCAAGATTTTAAGAGAGCAATTCAAAGCTAGATTCCTAGACACATTCTACTGTAATCTGCACAATAGGTGTTATTTAACAATACCAAACTAACCTGGAGTGTCACAAACTTGCGCTTGCACTTCTGAACAATTTTCAGGAAAGTGTCGCATGCCATATCCTACAAACAAAACATGGTTTAGGTTCTATATTACTTTGAGTGTGTTCTTCACAGGGCAAAAAGTTTAAGAATATACAACAGTGCCAGATATATGTAACAATAAGACAAATTAAGAAAAACCTTGCTGCCAGATACACAGCAGAATACAATAAAAGACTAGCTGACTTACTAGCTAAATATGAGGACTATAATTTTCAAATTAAAAGCTGCAGAACCAATTGAACAGAAACTAAATGCATTTTTCTTCAACAAATAAAAGAAACAGAAATATTGTAACCTGAACTCCAGGATGCATCTCGTGCATGAACTCAAATAATTTGTTGACCACTGTTTTTAAAAACTTCCAGTGTGCCCTTAGAAACCTTGGATATTGCCCCACAACATACCTAATTATGGGAAAAAGAATAGCAGCATACTGATCATTCTAAATCTTACCATAATAAATAAAAGCATGATAATATAAAATGGAAGCAATACTTACATAATATTACTTGCTATCACAGCTTTGTTATCTTTCCCTTTCGTAATCTCACAAAGATTCAACAAATCACGAATAACCAAAACCAAAAACCGGTTTTCCTGCAGCAGATTTAATAGGGACATACTTAAAGGTTTTGAACAGATGAAACTCTGTCAGCAACTGTTGGAGGTAACAGAGAAATAAATCAGCCAGGGCTTACAAACCCAGGCGACTGCTCTTTCATATATAGGAGATAAGTAGCACATTGATTACATTGATGGCTCATTAGAGCATTAACTAAACAGCTAACTGCCTGGGTACTTGCACAGTCACTTGTGCTGCCCAAGGCCTTAATAGCAGAAACATAATTAAGCACAGATAACTAAGTGATAACTGGGAGCAGGACTTAACTTCTACAGCTTCTCCCCTAAGACCTGCTTCCCCATCCTTGATCTTCATGATCCCAATCTTGCTTCTCATGTCTTCAAACTTGGCCTTGCCTAAGGCCTTAGTCGAATGTCTTGATTGATCATTTGTGGCGACAAACTCGGTCTTTGATGTTGCCTTCTTCAACACAATCTCGATGAAGTGTTGTTTGATTACGATATGCTTGCTTCATCATGAAAGACGGGGTTCTTTGCAAGTGCTATTGCGGTCGTTGTCAACCCTCGCCCACAGTCTCCACCTTTCTTCCCAACAAAGTCACCCAACAATCTTGGCAATACCACAGGGCTTGTGTTGTCTGCTGAAGTCATAGCCACATATTCAGCCTCACAACTAGACAAAGCCACCACCCTCTCGCTTGATAGATTGCCACCGACCAAGTTGTTGCCAAAAAGAACAGACAACTTTGTTGTGCTTTTGCTGAGTCAATATCACCGGCTAGGTCTGAATCACAATAGCCCACAAACCTAGCAGAATTTGGGGCTCTTTTGAACTGCAGACCATAGTCCAATGTTCCACCAAGTACCTCAAAGACCCTCTTGATCGCTTCTTGGTGCTCGATGGTCGGTTTCTCCAAGAATCTGCTCACATAGCCCACCGAGAAAGCCAAATCAGCTTGGTATGAACCAGGTATCTCAAGCTTCCAACCACCTCCTATACTTGAGAGTTGGATTCACCTCCTTAGCGATTAAGGTATGCTTGCCGAAGCTTGAGCGCTCTTCCATTGGTGTAGGCTGCTGGATTGCAATCGACATGCTTCCCGTTCTAGGATTTTCTTGGCATAGTGAGTCCGCCTCATGGTGATCCCATTCTTGCCTTGTTTGCACTTCAATGCCAAGGTAGAAACCGAGCAAACCCAAGTCACTCATCTCAAAGGTGGATTTCATCCTTTCCTTGAAAGCCTTTACTTCATCTTTGATCGCTCCAAATGATGATCGATCATCAACATAGACCCCAACCAAAGCAACACCGAGCCCTCTGAACCTTTCCTCAGATTGTCGCTTCATGTTTGCTCTGTTTGAACCCATTTTCTTCGAGTAGAGTCCAACTTAGCGTTCCATACTGGTGCCTCGCTTGACCCATATACAAAGCTTTGTGCAAGCGATATACCTTGCTTTCTTCCCGGAATAGCAAACCTGTGGGTCATTGGACATATACTTCTTCCTTGAGCTCTCCATTTAGAAAAGTCGACTTGACATCCATATGATGGATGTCCATCCTTCTGGGCAGCTAGAGCAAGCAAAGCGGCGGTCTCACTTGATTCTATGCGCATGTGAGGAGCGAAACACATCCTCATAATCAACACCCTCTTGTCAAGCACAAACCCACGAGCAACAAGCCGAGCCTTGTGCTTGATCACATCTCCTTTCTCATCTTTCTTCAACTTGTAGACCCATTTTAGAGAAATTTGCCGATGGCCAGCTCGGGGAGACACAAGCTCCCGGTGCCATTATACTCAACAAGCGACTCCTCTTTCATTGTTTTGCCATGCCATGCAGATCATCTTTTGCCTCTGATAAGAAATGGGTTCCCAGTGGGTGAGGTGGAGCTCTGCGAACAAGCGGCTACACGCCGGGCCAGAACTTCTGCTCCCCGCCTAATATGCCATCTATGGTACGATAGCGCCTTGTTGCTAAATCGTTGATAAGTATCCACCGCTTCCTCATCATCTTCCAAGGGAGTCACGTGCTCCACTTGTGGGTCGGCTGAGCCGGTGATGATGAAGGCGTTACGGATGTCTCGGACACCTCTTCTCCTGTATCAAGCACCGATTCTGCTGGGGAAGGCTTCAGTGAGGCGGCGAATGGGGCCGAGGAGAGATGAGTGTGGACTGCCTTGAACCTCCACTCGTGGACTTCTTCCTCCCAAGGAAATTCCACCACAAAATCACTACCACCGCCCAGACGTACTGCTGCTTTGGTGATGTCCAATCCCAACCTCTTCCTTCATCAAAAACCACATCTCGGTGACATGCGTACATCGCCGAGATCTTTGGATCAAAACTCGATAGGCTTTTGCTCCTTCAAAGATAGCCAATAAATACTCCAGCTTCACCACGATCATCAAGTTTCTGAAATGAGACAAACGCGAGTATATGCCACACAACCAAACACCTTCAGGATGGCCAACAAGGGGTGCTCGGCCATGCCATGCTTCATAGGGAGTGATATCACCTAGAGCCTTGGTTGGTGACCGATTCGAGAATATGCCACAAGATCATCACCGCCTCCCCCAAAACTTGGCATCATCATCCGGCCGCTTGAGTAAGGCACGTGCCATGGCCACCACGGTTTGATTTCTCGCTCCACCACGCCATTCTGCATGGTGAATGAGGAGCACCTTGTAATGCCTTTTGACTCCTTCATTGGCACAATAAGCGAAGAAATTCGCAACAATAAACTCTCCTCCATTATCTCATGCGCAGAACTTTCGGTTTCGCCCACTCTCCACCTCTGCAGCAGCCTTCACCTTCTTGATAGCATCTGCCGCAAAGATCCTTAGATGACAACAAAGATCGCCCACATGAATCGTGTGGCATCATCTACAAGCAATGAGAATATAGCGATTACTGCCGGGTTGTTGGTGTAATCGGCCCACGAGATCACCATGCACCAATTCAAGGTGATCCCGAGCACGATATGTTGTTTGCAAAGAGAAAATGATCGCCTCCTCATTTGGTGGTGACACAAGTGTCACACACTTGCTCAACATGATCGATCTTTGGCATCCCTCTTGCCATTTCCTCCTTGCCAAGCCTCCGCGAAACCTCAAAATTCAGATGCCCAAAACGCTCATGCCATTTCCACGCTTCCTCATCCTCGCTTGAAGAAGACACACTGTCAGTCTTTGTCTTCATATCTGATACATACTGACCGGTTCGCGCCACGCCTCACCTTGGCGATGGCGACATCATTCTCTGCGTTCCCAAATCCATGCATACTCCATCATCAATCACCACCTTTGAGCCATTCTCATCAAGTTGACCGAGGCTCATGATCGAGTTCTTCAACGCCGGAATGAAATAAACTCCATGAAGAACACGATGCTCACCGCCTTTGCTTCAAAACAATCGAGCCAACGCCCTTGATTTCCACCTTGGGCGCGTCCCCTCGAACCGAACTGCGTGCCTCGAACGTCCGTGTTCAGTCTCAAAAACAGTCACGCCGCCCGGTCATGTGGTGTGTTGCGCTTTGAATCAAGGTACCACCGGCACCCGACCATCTCTTCATCATCTGTTCCCAGATAAGCACGCGCCGCGTGGCTCAAAGAACTCAACGCTATGGCTGTAGATAGTTGAGCTCCGGCGTGCTCGTTTCCATCTCAATGAAGCCGTGAGACGAGAACAGAGCGCATCTTCCTCACACTTTCGACAAACTGAGGCACGCCTTCTTCATGTCCTCCTTGCTTTGCCGGCTTAGTTCTGGCCGCCACGGCCTCCTCCACGGTTTCGCCGCCGCCGTCACCCCACCATGATTTCCTCCCCGCCGCCGCTCTCTGTTCCATCACGGCGCGGTTTTGAGGGACATTCACGCCCCAATGCCCTTCCCGATGGCAGTTGAGACACGTGTTGGGGCCAACACGGCCGGCGCCATTGCCTTCTCCACGTCTGCCGCCACGGCCAAAGACACCTCTGCCCGTCCGCGTCCACCTCCGCGTAATCCTCCGCCACCGCCCTTGGCCGGTTCTTGAAACTAGAACCGCCCACTTCTTCTCGCACCTTTCTTCTCCTTCCTCAACGCGTCACGCCATCGCTCCTCGGTGTCAGATGAGCACTTGCCGTTGATGGACACCGGCTCATCACGGCTTATTTTCGCTTCACGGTCGCCCACCGCCTTGAGCCTTCCTGTCACCTCTTCAAGCGTGAGCGCCTCGAAGTCGAGGAACCGCTCAATGGCGACGACGATCTTAGCATTTCAAGTCGGCACCGTCGCGTAAACTTTTCCACAACACGCGCCTCATCGATGTCCTCGTCTCCATGAAGCACCACCGTGATGCAGAGTTGATACCGCAGGCAAAATCCTCCACCGGCTCGCCAGGGCTTGACGTCAATGTTCTCCCACTCCGTCCTTGATCGCAGCCGCAATCGCGGACCACCGCCCACACCGTCTGAGTCGCAGCGATGGCATCCCATGCCTCTTTTGCCGCCGCCTTGTCTGGGAGCGGAGCCCCAACTCCTTGGGCACAAAGCGGCGACGATCACCTCCAGAGCTCGCTGTGTCGTCGAAATGCTTTGGGCCTCCTTGACAACTTTTTCAGGTCGCGCGCTGCATCCCGAGCTTCATCGTGCTGCTCCACTCATAATAATTTGTCTTGTCCAAATTGGCCATGATGTGCATCGCCGCCGAATCATGATGAACCACCCGCCTTTATGCGGCGACTCATAGCGACCGCCGCCACGACGCTTCGGTCACACGTTAGCGATGGTAACCTGAACGGCGCTGTCCAGGAGTCCGCATCCGCCAGTTCCTCCGGTCCTCAAATAATTTCCTCCTCCTCCTCCTCTCATCTCCTTTCTCTGCTATCTCCGCCTCATGACTCCTGCAGTGTGCCCGCCTTAGAAACCTTGGATATTGCCCCACAACATACCTAATTATGGGAAAAAGAATAGCAGCATACGCCCTCGGATCCCTTGGTCTTCCTAGCCCGGCGCTCGAGAGGAGGTTGACGTCATGGAGAAGATGAGAAGGTGAAAGGTGTCTAACCTAAGCTCTGGTACCAAATGTTGGAGGTAATAGAGAAATAAATCAGCTTGGGCTTACAAACCTTTGTTATCTTTCTTTCATATATATCTCATAAGTAGCACATTGATTACATTGATGGCTCATTAGAGCATTAACTAAACAGAAAACTGCCGGTACTTGCACAATCACTTGTCTGCAGCAGATTTAATAATAGCGTAAACATAATTAAGCAGGTTAACTAAGTGATAACAGATGAAACTCTTAACTCTACAGCAACAAAACTTGTGTGCATTTGTGTCCAGGTTCAGCCTAGAGTCTAGATTCTGAGTCATTAGTGATAGCATGATTTTAGCTAGTAGTTCAAGAAAATAATAGGCTAATTATGGTAGTAATGGCTGCTTTGACTAGAAGATTTTTCTCAGCCTTAAAAGTAGCGCACGGCTGTATATGTGATCCAGAAATCAGAAAAGAAGCTAGGTCAATTTCCAGCCACTAAACCTACTGTGCACATGTGTGTTCTTGTGTGTGAGTTCCTGGGAGAACTGTTGAGGGTTGTTTTCCTTTCAAACACTACATTACACTATGAATAACAGAGCAGTATACAAATGAGAAAAATGACAGATCCAGAATGTTAGAAAGGTGCATTATGCATGAATTGTCCAGAGTGCAATTGCCACCAAACTGTAGTGTTTCTCAACTGTTGGAAAAGGGATTATACTCATTGGGTTGGTGGTATTTTACCATTTAAGTTTGGGGTTGTTACTGTATTGGAGCATATCAGCCAATCCGGGGAAACTAAAACAATGGAACAATCGAACAGATGTGGATCTTTGTTTCATTGACAAATATTAATGCATGTCTACAAATAATTATTTAAGTCAATGAACCTGTTCCTCCACCATAGAACCAGAAATGGATCCAATTGCCCAGCATAGAGTATTTAAGTTATTCCAGCTCCAGTCTTCACCATTTAATTGCTTGCTTAATTTCCTCAACATCTGAAATTTTGAAGATGCTTCATTGTAAGTTACACAAACGAAAGAAGATAATCTTGTGCCAGTTATACACAGAAGGTGACATATCTCGGAAGCTACCATAATTTGTTATAATACTCTTAGGAAGATAAAATAGGGCTTCCACATCACCAAATAATAACCAACAACTCTAGAAGCATAATGCTAAGCCTTTTTCTATTTCCAAAGTTCCACTTGGAAAGCAGGATGAAAAACACCAGAATATTATATTAAAAAACACACAAAGGATAGGCTCGAGATCCAAGTGAAAACACAGGAAAGTTGAAGGTGGTAGTATCTGTACTGGGCACAGGATATGTTGTCTCAATCATAAATGACCAAGAGAGAAAACAAAATTGGACTTGATTTTTAGATTCCTATGTAACTCCTCGAAATCAAAGAAATGTGCTGACTCATATGTCCCAACTCAGATAGTACTCATTGCTTATGCAACCAGTCATTTCTCTAGTTCATGTAGTGTGTACATTTACCATAAACCTAACCTGGTGTCAAACAGAAATAGCATAACTAGCCAAGTTAATAACCATTCTAACAAAGTTGATTTAGAATTCATGGACCAAAATGTTAAAAAAATCCACAGTAACGCAGTAAGATATACCTGCTGTTCTGTATCTTCGTGATCAAGATGTGACAAGTATATTAGTGTTTCCCTCATGATCTAGAATAGAACAGCAAACAATAACAATAGAAAGTTAATGAAAGATGCCTATGATATCCTGCATGAATTGCCAGCTAATCCTTTTACTAACCTTGTACTGAACAAGGACATCATTATCTTTCAATGTTTCTCGTACAATATTCCCATTCTCATCTTCAACAATCAAAACCTCCTCTGGCTTTGCCATCCGACAGATCATTAACGTTCTTAACTTCGAAAGTGATCCTGCATAAAGTTGCCTCCTATGTTGAACAGCTATGAGCGTACCATCATCAGTTCCAGGAATCAGCTGAGTCTGAAGTTTCTGCATGTGGTAAATGATTAGGAATGAAGTATACAGAATTTTTTAACAATAATGAAGAGTTATGCAAGAGGTCATGAAAAGAACCATTTAAAAGAAAAATAAAAACATATCATTTACAAAAGATCAGCCCTGAGAAAGTTCAGTTTACTTCAGATTGCAACCAAACGTTTCTGAACCTTTGCACTACTAACATCTCAATTTGCACACCCAAGTTATCAAATTAAACAATTCTACCACTAGTTAGGCATGTGTGTAAGTGGCTCTGAAGAGACAATAATATACCACATTTTTTTCTTTTTTTCTCGAACATGCAGGAGAGCTGTGTCATTATATTAGAAGAATGAAACGGGTAATAACCTTTACAACACCACATACACCTCCAATAATATACCACCTTACATTAAAAGTTACTGCCCACGTTCCAAATTTTAAGTCGTTTTAGCTTTGTACTAAGTTGAACTTCTCTAGCTTTGATCAAGTTTATAGAAAAATGCACAAATATCTACAACATCAAACAAGATTCTTTAGATACACCATGAAAATATAATTTGATAGTACATTTATTTGATATTGTAGATGCTAAAATACTTTTCTATAAACTTCGTCAAAGTTAGATAAGTTTAACTTAGGACAAAACTAAAACGACTTGCAGTTTGAGACGGAGGCTGTGCTTCATTTGTTTCTCTGTATAACTGCTTGCTTGGGAGTAGCCATTCCACAATGTATGAAATCAGGTGTGCTTTACTGAATCTTTCATGTCACCCTTATTTCTACCGAGCAAATTGAGTTCTAGATACATTTCATGTGACAAAGGACAGACAAGTTATTTCTCTTCCAGTTCTGTACATCAATTGTTTCTATTTGGTAAGCTGAAACTTATATTCTGAAAAGTATGTTTTATATGGGAAAGATGCTGCATTAGTAATCGCATACATGTCATGATGTCAAAGATGGCCCCAAACTAAATGTATATTAGCATAGCACTGCCATGTTAGTGTAACATGTCCTTTATAAATGGCAAAAACATTAAAATCTGGCATAACAACTACAGCCAAAACAAGTGAAACTGTGAAAGCCAGAAACAGAATACAATAATAGCATGGGAAAGTTGAAATTTTGGTTCTGGCATCTCTCACTAAATGCTGCTGAAACGAAAAAAATGACTAAATCATACTATCAAGATCTACACACATCCCAAAGCAAGACGAAAAAATAAGCATTTCTAACATAGATAATATAAGCAGTGTTAATTAAAATTAAAAAAACCTGAAGTTCCATCAATCGCTCCACTTGGTTGTATGTTTCAAATAATTCTAGAACAAACAGATTCCAGTAATCCAAGCAGACCTGTTTATCAAACAACCAACAATATAAGATGACCTTACACAATACTCTACGTGTTCCAGAATTCAACCTAGCTTCATACCTTAAACATCTCTGTGTCATCAACAAATGAAATTTCAATGAGGTAGTCAAGGCCCAAAAGCAATGCAGCTCTATTTTCAGGAGTTGTTTCCAGTATGCGCATGTGATTCTACATTTATCACATTAAAATTAGAGTAATATCATTTGAGATTGGTATTGTGTAAGTAAGAATTAGCAATTTTATTTTCTTGGTCCGAAATTAGACCTGAAACTAGCCTACATTCTACAAGTCAATATTACCCCAACTTTTCCTCATAAAAAGCATAACATCAACTGCATATATGTTGGGTCCGGCAGCCCATGAATTTTATAACAATAAAAGTATCCTACTGGACAGCTTTGCTTGATTCAGAATGCAGTGATCATTACCTTGAAGAAGGATGTCAAAAGAAGTGCAAGATTTTGGATAAATGCCTGCTCAGAGAAACAAGTATTTCTTAGTGCATCATATGGGAGCAGCATGCTCATTATGCAGGATTGGACTGTCATAATCTTTTAAGGCTTATCAAAATTTTCATTAGGTTAGCACTGTTGGCAAATAGTCCCATTAGAACATCACAATTAAATATATGGTTGTGATCTTGACATCTTGTTACTAGACAGCTATACCAGAAAAGTTGGTAATCTGATTAATAAAATGAAATGGCTTCACTATCAAATTTCAATTCTACCAAAATTATTAAATTCATATATTTTTTTAAAAAATGTCCAACATTGAAATCTCCGTCTCTACTACTTAAAACAATGCCGTTGGTGGTGATGGTGTATTAATGTGCCTGCCATCATCACTACTCCACCTTACATTTTGCGTTATGGACCCACCCTGTTCCTAAACATAAGTGAGTTTCAAATCATCCTAATCTTCTTTAAAAGAAATAAAGAATCATGGAACCAAGGTTAACTATATATATGAATGTACTTTAATTTGTAGTACCATTGCAGGTTTCAATTCTCAAACTCAAGGTCACTTAAATTACACATGTTGTAGGTTGAATAACAATATGATTTTCTAAATTCAAATTAAACATAAGAAACCACGTGAAATTCCATTTTGAATTTGATTACTCAAAACGGAATACAAGCTTATCAACTCTGAAACTTCATATAGAAGATTTGAAAATCTGCAAATTCCAGAAAATATAGAATCAAGGGGAAAGGGTAGAGTATACCTGTTCTTCATTAGAACCATTGGCATAGCCATCTGAAATTGTTCCACAAGGAAGAATAGCCTGCTCATCGAGGAAAACAAAGAGTAAAAAAGAGGCCACCAAGGAAGCTAGAGGAAAGTGAATCATAGCTCTTGACACTATGAAATATACCTGCAGCTGCACCATAAAGACTGAATACATCTTGACATATTGCATGTCATAGAAATCACCGAAATGAAGAGCAGCAACCTGCAATAGCTTAAAACATCAGTACAGACATCCACCTTATGACTCCTGATTCAATCCTCAGAGATAAATCTCCATAATTATCAAATTCAAATAAAGTGTGTTAACTAGTGGCTATACTGGAATAACCGAATAACGCATTAGAACTGACAATAATTGACTTTTTTTTACCTCTGTTAGGCATTGAAGTGTAAGATTCCGGTAAGCAGCAATAGGGAAAAACTTCAAAAGTGTCTCCAGCTAAAAGGTTAAATGAAAAGGTTTTAGTTGGAGCAGATCCAATTGTTCATTAGAGCATTCAAGTTATATATAAGAGGACTACACACCAGAGGTGATTCAAATATGAAACCGATGGGGATCCATGACAGGAAAGCATGAAGTGTGGCCAATGTAGCACGAACAAGTTCAGGTCTTTGTGACACAGACAGGACATATAAGCAGAGCTCATGAATAAGACGAAATTCACTGTTCAAAAGCATACAACAGTATATCAGTATTCAAAGATAAATAAACGTTTTTATATATAAAGCATTGTTTTAAGACTCAGAGATAAAGCTCAAGTCACATCCATATAGGCAAGATGAAATATGCCACCAAAACAATATGCAATGCATTAAACAGATGAGCAACCTATCGACTAGAGGATGAAAGCTAGGAAAAAAAGGAGATGCAAATATATACCTATTTAGTGAACCCTTCAGCTCTTTGATCTTTTGTTGCGTCATTTCCCCTCTTGAGAAATCAAAAATTTCTTCACTTAACAGCTGCATATTGGTTGCTCAGTCAGACAACCAGTCCAAATATGGTAAAACAAATAGGTAACAGGCATATTGAGCAAGCAACTTGCCTTCAGTATTGCCATACAATTCTCACATATTGTTTCACTACTCCTTGCTGCTGCAATAAGATCAGGGATGAAGGTTGTCCACCTGGCAGGCCACTCATGCTTTAAAACCTATTACAACAGGAATAACAGAAATAGGCAACATAAGAAACAGAGGTGTACAGTACTGCGAAAAATCAAAATCCATATTTACCACAGTAGCATAGACCATAATGATTCGTACAACAAATTATGAATACTTAGACAAAAAAAAGTCTGCTCTAGAATACAATCAAAACAGTTTAGCCTACCTGCACCAGAATAATGTTGAGCTTATTGACATAAAGTCTCTCTTGTCGAAAGGAAACCTCATTGCTTGAGAGCTAGTAGAAAGCAAAAAGAAAAAAGGGGGCAGGGGGTTATTCAGAGAGTCAGCTTTACAGAACACAAAAAACAGCATCAGGTTCATCAAGGTAATGGCCATATATATTGATCATTACCTGAACAATGACATCAGATATATAATTCTTCATACCATCACGTTGTTCCACTGGCAAAGCGTTCCATTTATATTTGATAACATTTTCAAGTACCTAAAAGTATAGGATTAGAATCAGCCATAAATGGTTCATAGAAAACAAATCTTTTGTGTATATATTATTAGAAATATCTCTATTGAGCATAATTCATGATGATAGAAATTGTGAAAGAGCTTGTAGCCTAGTGGTTGCAAGTGCTTAAGTAGCACCTCTGTCCTAGGTTCAACTCCCCGTGGGAGCGATTTTAAGCTGGTTAAGAAATCCCCTCGTCGGCAAAGCTGGGGTTCAGGGATCTTCTCGGCCTACAAGGTTGAGAGGTCTTCTATGGGATCTTCTCAGACCACAAGGTTGAGGTCTTCTACCTTAATAGCAATGCCCTGGGGAGCCGCAGGGGGTCGAGTTTTTTTTATTGATGACAAAAAATATAGATAATCTACTGCACAGCTAACACAAGGTTATAGACATATTTATGCATTGCTTCAAGGTCATTCAAAGGAGGAGGGTTATGATAGGCTTGGCAAGACAATGAAAAACCAGCAACTTTTAGTCTTGTACTGTACCAAAACCATTTTTTTTCAAACTAATATCTTTGTCGGCCTGTGCACCTCTTGTTGAGTTTCATGACTTCGAATCTAGCCTAATCTAACTTGCTTTGGAACAAAGTTTGTCTTGATGTTGGTGTAGATGAGTAAATCTACCATCAAAGTACACATCTCATGTGCTTAAATACACATCACGATCAATGTTCGTTTCAACTTGTGATAAATCAATACCTTATGCTGTACTTCTGTGGTTTTACATTTAATAAAAAAAGTATAAAGGCATAGGGATTAAATCTGCAAACTGGGGTATTACTTGGTCTCCTCTGTTACTGTAGCTAGATCGTTCTTGGTCTTTCATGTGAACACTTATTTAAGTCCAGTCTATTTCGCTGTCTCTTCCTAAGCCAAGATAAATATTGCAGTAAAAAGGTTTAAGTTGCCATGCAATCATCACACTAAGAAAAAATGGAATAAATCATAAGCTCTGACACTGTCTACACACAACTCAAAAGTCTGAGCATGCATAATGTTTGTATGATAGTAGATAACTAGATATTCACGATGATAATAGATACAGTTGTGTATATTACAACATACGAGACCTTAGTGGTTACATATATACTAGTCTTGGGAACTAAGGAAACTAGAGTCCTATCCGAATACAATCTACATTTACTTGTGAGTCAACTCAAGTGTCAAGTCTCCTCTATTTATAGAGGTCCCATGTATCAGGTTGAATCAAGAAGGAAATGATTAAGGGCAAAGTTCCAGAATCAGCTCTCCATCCTCCTCAGCATACTAGCAGCTGCTGCCTCCATGTCACCTATCTCCAGCACCCACAAAGCTGCTGCTGTCACCCTCGCTCCCTTTTTCCTACTAGGCGTGGCCAGCCCTAGGGCTGCAACACTTCTCCAGTTCTCCCCTCCCCAATTTCCCCCCTTGCTGCTATTCTCCTCCCAGTTTATTCCTAATTTCCCACCAGTGAGCCAGCACTATGACAGTTTGGTTTGAGGAATGGACCATCCAATCCTAGCTCCCAACTAACCAATTGGTTTGGTTTGAGCAACGTAATGGGTTGACCTGTCATCACACACCCCTGATCCCACAAAAGTGCATGCTCAGTATTAAATTAGTGGCATGGTTGCTATCCACTTAAATCACTACAGAAAATCCTATTCTAGATTAGTTGATCTGTAATACTATCCACACCATACAGTAATTACAGTATTGCCATTTGCCAGCGTGTTCCTGTCCAGTCTTAGTTATTTAATATTATTGTATCAACAGAAAAAACATCTTGAATCAAAACTTACTTGGAGAGCAAAGAACTTGGTATTCAAATTTTGGGAGTTCTGCAGAATGTGAACCACTTGTAGCCACATATCTGGATTATTCTGCAGCTCACGCAAGATTTGATCTGCCGCATGCCTCTGAAAAACAGCAGCAGCACATAAGTATTACAAGAACGTTGAATATTGACAGTAACATGAATTATAATAATGCACAATGATAAGTATTCCTATGGTTCGTCTTTTATTGGTTTCCCATTTGCAAAGCATGCAATACAAAATGTTTCACCCAACAGTACAATTAGATCCAGACACTGTGATGCAATAATGCAAGCACCATGCAACAACTGCATAAGAAAAAAAAATTGCTTCAGCCTGAATTAAACTTTTATACCAAAAGGGCCAGGAGCCAATAATTAACAAATGTAGAACACATTTCATAGCGCATCTGCTGCAGCTATCCTGTCAACCAAAGTGATGTTTGCACTTTGCAGAACACAATAAGTTGTTTGAAATTAGTTAACATAGTTGTTGCTGGTGTATTACACAAAAATAGGATTAGCTTTAGCTGATGATGAAAAAAAAGTCAAAAGCTCATACGTTTTTTTCCACTGTGCTGAATACTGACAGTTGATTGGTGTTTTAACAGTCTGCACCCGTACAGAACTGCAGCTTATAAGCTTCTGTAGGCTGCATAATTGTATTAGAATGTTGTATTGGGCTATATTTTCAGATTATTTACTTCTCCATGTTTTTATATGAAACATTGCTTATTCATTTATAGTTCAAACTTTGGATACAAATGTTGTTTTGTACTATGGTTGGTGGCCCAAATTTTACAGTTATGCAATTAAAGTGTTAGAAATATAAGTTGCACAGGATCACATACTTGTTTCATTGACTTTTAACAAAAATATCGGGCATCACTAATTGATAGAATCCGAGAAACAGGAGTATTTTCTAGACTTCACTGCAAGAAAGCAAGACAATCATCATTTCAGAATCACACTGACAAACCCATCCGCCTGATCAACGCAGACTGCCCCCTTCCGCTGCGGCGCGATGACAATCAGACACGGCCACACGGCCAAAAAAAAAAGCAAGCATCCCTGTCCCAACCGAGCCAACCACCATTCACTGCCCAAAAACTTAGCCTGCCCGCCGCGAGCGATCGGCCGCCGAAGACCAGAAGCCCCCCACCCACGGGAGCAATGACAGCAGCAACATAGAATGGGTTCAGAGGGCGTAATTACCTCCTCTCTGGAGCCGGTGCCATAGAACGCTGAGACGGTGGCGTCGAGCAGCCGCACGTCAATTGGCTGGCTAAGATCCCGCAGCTTCTCCGCCGCCATGGCGTCCGCGGCGGCGAGCTCGGGGCGAGCGAGGCGGACGCGTAAGGCCCGACAAGGTTGGAGAAGGTTCCGAGGCGGGGAGCGGCGGGCGAGGTGGCCGAAGAGGGGATTCCGGGTGGGGGCGGACGGATTCGAGGAGCGGATTTTGAATTGTTTCGCCGCAGCCGCAGGGTTTAAGCGGAGAGCGGGGGAGGGGGAAGGGAAGGGAAGGGAAGGCAAGCCTTGTTGAGGTGAAAGGTTGCTGGGGATTCACGCGAACATGGGAGAAACTTGCGTCGCAGTCCTTGGTGGATAATTTAATTGTGGACGGGTATCTCTGGTGCAGAGGCAAAGGAGCGGTTCCGTAATTACGGTTGGGTTAGTGGGGGGCTTCGTGTAATTGGGAGGCCGGGGTCTCCGGTCTGTGCTGGACGCTGTTGTGGGTCGACGCGGCCGTTTGAACTTTTGGGGGGGAAAAGGGTCGCCGCCGACCAAATTTCTCGACTTTGTGACCTTTTTGTTACGAGAAGACTCGATGGCTTTTGAGTACTTTTTATTTTATTTGCTTGTTATTTATTTATTATATTATTGTGGGGGTATGACCCCGGTATCCACAGCACAAAATATGGGCCACATCATCGAAGGTAGCCCAACCCACAGGATCAAGGCGTACGGTGCACGACACTGGTCGTCGTGCACCGTAAGGCTACGAGAAGACGTGATTTATTAGATATTATATAATACCAAATATAATATTTTTCTTGTAACCCTACCCACCTATAGCATATAAGAAGGGGTAAGGTTCCCCTAGTGGGCATCCCCATACGGATCCTAGGCTCAGCTTAAGGCATCCGATCTCTCGCAATACAATTCACCGAAAGGCACATGACATAAGGTATTACGTCGAGTCGGCGGCCTGAACTTGTCTAATCGTTGTCTCTTGCGTTATGTGCCACTATCCGCACTACGCCAGATTTGCACATCACTGCCGGCCTTATCACTGTCGGATTTGTGAGAACCGGCAGTGATGTACTTTCACTGTCGATTATGAGCTTAAAAATGAGAAAATAATTGGGGCTGGGCTAAAACCGGTAGTAAAGGATCACATCACTATCGGTTTGTGGCTTGAACCGACAGTGTTTTGGCTGGCGCTTATCACTGTCGGTTCAAGCCATAAACCGGTAGTGATTTGGCTATATCACTGTCGGTTCTAGCCAAAAACCGACGATGATAAGCCTACAGCACAAAAAGGCTGCAGACGTCCCCTTCTTCCTCCTCTCTTCCATCCCGAGAGCAGAGACGCGCGTTTGGGCCCTTCCTTCCATTGTTGCGGCTGCTCTTCACCATGAAGCTAGCGCTTGGATTTTGAAGAATGGCTTGATCTTTTTGCTTTAAGGTTAGTAACAAACATCCACTCCTTTGATTTTGTTGCTTAATTAGCTTCGTTTTGATAGCTACATTGCTTGATTCTTATTCTAGTTCTTTCTCCATTCTAGATAGCACTTTTCCAATTTAACATTTGTGCAAGGCTCAAATTGTGGTGAATCTATTATCCAAACGGTTGGTGTCTATGAACACATTTAAATTCCTAGCTAATTATTCCATGGTGGTCAAGATCATCATTGTTAGTACGTGATGTTATAATTAGTTCTTAGAAGTAGAGTAGAATAGTTGTTCTTCAATATTGTGCAATAATTGTTTTTACTATGATTTCCAATTTACAGGACCGGGGTTACTTATTTCAATTTTTAATAATTAGTGTACAATAATATTTTCCAAAAATGGTACTTTTGAGCTACAATTGTTGTTCATAAAGCTCGATTTCTTATTAATTCTTTGTAATTACCGTCTCAGTTTTTTTTTGTGCAGAGATGGATCGAGAGTGATCTGTCCTGAACAGACAAGCGGTACATGCATGGCGTCAGCCAGTTTATCACCGATGCCAAAGCCCATGTTGGAAATGGGAACCCTGTCTTCTGCCCATGCAAAGATTGCAAGAATCATAGGAACTTTCGTCAAATTAAGTCTATACGATCGCACTTGATTACCAGGGGTTCATGCCAAACTATACGATATGGACTATGCATGGCGAGGTTGGTGTGAATGTTCTGCAGGAAAACGATGATGATCTGGACATACCTGACGTAGCCATCCACGATACTGACGAGGAACCCGGTGTCAACACGGAACCAATGGCTATAGTTAATAATGTGTTTAGGAACACGCTAGCTGACGACACCGAGGATAACGATGACATTTCTCAGCTGCTACGTAATGTAGAGACCGGATGTCTTAGTGAAAGACAGATGAGAAAGCTAGAGAAAATAAGACAAGATGGCAAAACACCATTGTATAGGAATTGTCCAATGAGCAAACTAGAAGCCGACATCATGCTATTAGAGTTGAAATCGACAAACGGATTGAGCGATAAAGGCTTCGATCAGTTGTTAGGTATAATAAGGAAAATGCTTCTAGAAAAAAATGAGTTGCCAAAAAAGACATACTTGGCCAAGCAAATGATCTGCCCCATCGGCCTCGAGGTTGAAAAAATCCACGCGTGTTCCAATGATTGCATATTGTACCGTGGAGAAAAATGCAAAGACTTGGACAAGTGCCCCAAGTGTGAAGCTCCACGGTACAAGGAAGGGCCGTCAGATGAGGGTACCAAGACCAGAGGAGGTCCTATAAAGGTCGTTTGGTATTTCTCTATAGCTCCTCGGGTGCATAGGCTGTTTGCATGTGCAAAGTCAGCCAAGCTGTTGCGCTGACATGGTGAAGAGCGTAAGAAAGATACAATGATGAGGCATCCCGCCGATGGGCATGACTGGAGGACTGTCAATACTATGTTCTATAAGGACATCGGTGGAGGAGTAAGGCACCTTTGGTTTGCTTTGAGCACAGATGGGATAAATCCTTTCGACCAAGTCAGAAGCAATCATAGCACCTGGCTAGTGACGCTCTGTATATACAACCTTCAACCTTAGGTCTGTATGAAGCGGTCGTACATCCAGATGCCACTACTGATCCAAGGGCCAAGACAGCCTGGGAATGACATCGATGTGTTTCTAGAACCAGTGATCGATGAACTAGTGGAAATGTTTGAAAATGGTGTGCCGGATGTTTGGGATGAGTACAAAAAGAAACATGTCACGATCAAGGGAGTACTTATCGCTACAATCACCGACCTGCCAGATCGAGGTTCGTTGTCCGGAGAGAAGACAAAATGTTATACTGGATGTGTCGAGTGCTTGGACGACACCGATGCGGTAAATCTGCCAAATAACTCAAAGATAGTTTATATGGGACACCGTAGGTTCCTACCTTTGGACCACCCTTACCGCAGGAACAGAAAAGATTTCAACGGTACTATTAAGAAACGCTTAGCTCCAAAATATCAAGACGGGCCTGCGATACTTCAAGAACTCAACAAACTGGAGGTTGTCCTTAGGAAGGGGGACAATGCAGTAGCAGCGCCTGATGGGAGCGTTTGGAAGAAAAAATAGGTTTTCTGGAAACTACCTTACTGGTTATTTCTGAGTGTACGCCACTGTCTTGATCCCATGCACATCACTAAAACATGTGCGCTAAAATTCTTAACACCTTGATGGACACCGGGGGGACATCAAATGATTCACTAGCCACACGCCTGGACATGCAACACTTGGCAATCAGGAAGGAGCTGCATCCCGTGGAGCTAGAGAATGGCCAGTTCAAACTTTCAGTTGTGTCATGGACATTGAAGAAGGAAGAAAAGCGTGCGCTTATTTCTTTCTTCAATGAACTCAAAGTCCGACGGACTCTTTGTGTAAACCCAAAAGAAGCATGAGAGAACTCAAGTTCAACTATGGCCCTATGAAGGGCCATGATGGCATCATCATCAAAATGCTCCTTTGCTCCCTGTTGCCATGATAATTATGACTCACCATGCTCCTGTTGCCTTCTCCTGCGTGGTATCCTCCCCCAAAGGTCCGCGCCCTAATCCTTAAACTTTACTCGCTTCTTCAACGCGATCTCAAAAAGGTCATTGATGTGTCCACGCTTAGAGCAAGCAAGACATAGCCAAAACTCTCGTTAGGCTTGAGATGCATTTCCACCGACTTACTTTGATATCTCATTGCATCTGCTCATTCATCTTGTTGACCAAATTAGAGCCCTTGGCCCAATGTACCTACATCGATGTTTCCTTTTTCTAAAGATTGATGAAAGTTTTCGTGACTACTATCGAGGTATGTTAGGAAAATAGATTCGAGCCGTAAGAGGGCATGGTTGAAGGATGGTCAACGGAGGAGGCCATTGAGTTCTTACTCGCATATTATCTAGACATCAAAAGGGTCGGAGTTCCGAATCTCGTCATGATGGAAGACTACGTGGCAAATGAACGATCGGGAGAAAAATGCATTACGATGAGATGACCTGTTTCTTTCTCCCGAGCATAAGCATAGTTCATCGTTTCTCAGCAAAAAGCCGAGGGTGTGATGCCATACATTGACGAGCACAGGCAATCGCTGCAAACTCTGTATCTGAGAAGGTCAGAGGCTTGGCTGGATAAAAAACATAAGGAAGAATTTACTGTAGTATCTAAATAAATATATCCTTTACATATATACACCTTCACTTTTTGATGTATTTCATCTATTTAGAAACCACGTAGTATCTATAAATCATCCTTTACATCACCTTCACTTGCTTTCTCTATTTAAAAACCGGTAGTGATGTCTATGCCCCCCTATATAAAACAAACTGTCGGCCACATACATCGATCCCACCCACCCATGAACTTTCTCAGTCTCATTTCTCACATTTCACTCTCACTTCTCAAGACATCCACTCTCTCTACGTGATTTGGTCACGGCTCCTGCATTTTTCAATGGTATTGATATGTTGTCTTCTCCAATATTCCATCTATATTCATTTGATTTATATTTATATTCATGTTTCTTTGCATTCTACATTTATATATATTCTTATTCCTTGCATTCGATCTATATTTAATTATGTTGCCACATTTTACTTGGAAGAAT